CACTATCACATGTTCTTCATAACATACAACCATTCATAAAAAGTAGTGAGGGTAACGTTCTCGTCATCTACTCTGAAAACTCTCCAATTTCAAATGACAAAGGTATCACTTTGAGCATTAGTGATATCACTCATAACTGGAGCGGTTATGCGTTTGTTTTTTCTAATGTAGCTGATGTTCCTGCTTCAGACACATCTCAGCTGACTCAATCATTTAAGCATCTTGAGATTACCAAACTTGGGCTTAACAACATATATCGTTGTTATGCACCTCCAGATGATGCTTTTCAGTGCACAAGATGCTCCTCGGGGGGAGATGTTACACCCACATGTGTTGCAAACACAGCCCTGTCAAGTCAAGAACAAGGTACAGATGTAGAAACACCTAAACCAGGCCTTGACACTGGTCTATTCAATGACATAGGAAATGACATAGGCACTGGTATAGGGACTGACATAGGCACTGACATAGGCACTGACATAGGCTCTGACATAGGCAGTGGGATACCTCCAGGCTCAGGTAGGGGAAAAGAGGGTCAAATAAGCAAGCTTAGAGGAGGAGGCCGACGTAAAAAAGGAAGCAAGCTTAGACGAGGAGGTAGACGTAAAAAAGGAAGCAAGCTTAGAGGAGGAGGTAGACGTAGAAAAGGAAGCAAGCTTAGAGGAGGAGGTAGACGTAGAAAAGGAAGCAAGCTTAGAGGAGGAGGTAGACGTAGAAAAGGAAGCAAGCTTAGACGAGGAGGTAGACGTAGAGGGAAATGGGGGATGGCATGGTTAAGGTAAAACAGGTCTGTCAAAGCCTTAAACTCTGACAAGCAACCCAGTGAAGCTGGGAAGATCCTCTGAGAAACTGCATTATTTTTCCTTTTCGTAGATTTAGTTGTTGTTTTTTATGCTAGCATAACTCTTATTTTTTGGCCTTTATAAACAAAATAACTTGCTTTCGAACTTGTCAGTGAGTTAATATGATCATGTCCCACGTCACCTGCTGTTTAAACCTTCAAGGAGCTGCCAGAAAATGTTGGTTTAAAAAAAGAGTAAAATACATTTGAAAATAATAAAAAGAAACATGACACTAGAAATTAAAAGAATATATCCACTTTAAGAATTTTACAACCTTTTACTGATTTAATGAGCTTTTGTGAAACATTCTTACAGATCTGTGGTAGGAGCAATCGACTTGAAACGTTTGTCTTGAATCATGAATTGGAGTCACAAAACAGGGACTTTGAAGACATTTGACTACTATTTCATTTAGTCAAAGATTAAACATTATCAAAACTTTAATGTTCTGCTCTTCCTGATTAAAGCTTGGCTTGGCATGCATTCTGGTCTCTGTGTCAATTATTTGGAAACTCCTGTGTTATGGTACTATTAGACTTGCTTTGATAAATAAAGGACTGCACAAACTAGAACTTTCTGTACATCCTGAAACCAAATTCCCTGAACTATTGCTTATGACATTTAAAGTTATGTGTTTAATGAACAGAATAGTGCATTGCATATAACATTTAGCCATTTTATACATGTTTTCTGTTAAAGCTAGTTTATCAAAATATTACTCCTCAGTCACTACAGTTTGTACTGACATTACTGTTTCACTTTTTATTTCTTTTTTTAGATGGACATTGTTCAGGTGAAATAGGCCAGCTAATCAGTAAAAATGGATAGTCAGACTGCAATGTGATTCAAATGAATTGAATCAATGTCTAAATGCTCTTGATTTAATAATTATGCAGCATTGCTTTTAAAATGCATTAAAGATTTAAATAAATAACACATTTTAAAAAACATGGGATATTTCAGGCCATTTAAAAAATGTCTATATTTTCTCTTTTTTTTCTTCTTTTTTGGCCTCTCTTGACAGTCTCTCTGTAAAGAGCTCTTATCTTCTTTTCTAGCTAACTGTAGATTTGTCCCTTCTTTTGCTGACACCCTTTCTAGCTCCTTGTTGCTTTCTGAAATTCTTCTCCCATCTTTGTTCCTTTCTTTTAGACACATTGTCTGTAGTTACTATTTAACTTTAGTTCGGTATATATTACATAAGCATGCCTGTTTCACCTTTTTCCCTTCTCAGTGAACACGGGCTCATATGTGCATAATACTCCTATTTATGCTTATGCACACACAAATGTAGAAATCTTTTCAAATCCACACTAATGCGCACTGTCAAAACATCTGATAAAACTCAGCATGTTGCCCGTTTTAACATTTTATCTGGTAAATCGGCCTTGTAACTGAAAATGATTTTTCATAATTTGTCTAGCAAAGCTTCTGATGTTCCCTTTAGGAGGCTTGGATGAAACGATACATGTCGAGCGCTGCCGTCGGAATCTGCAACTACAAGTCCCACAATGCCGTGTTGTACTGCAATTCATGTGACCACGAGAGCAAACATGGCGGAAGTAGACGCGACGAAGTCTCTGAGCAGCTTGTTAAATGGAATCGCACAGAAAGTATATTACAACAACAGCGAGATCACAGAGGAGCTGCTGAAAAGCGAGCTCTACCCGGAGATGTCGCCAGACGAGTTCACAGCTTTGCACGACAAGATGAAAGGCCTTTTAAAGGTAACGCAACACGGCACCCTGCGCTACTGATGATCCTGATGCTGAAGTGGCAGTCGAGACCAAGCAATTCTGCTCTAGCTTTGATTTTACTAATATTCACTTCAGTTTTGGAGAAAGGGTTGTGTCTGCGTGATAGTGCATGCTTGTGCCCATCCAGAAATGCACAACACGCAAACAAACGCACATTAATGAGAGACACCGTGAGAATATCTGTTAAAACGCAACTTGAACATTGTCCGAATGTTTCTCTCGGCCGAACGAAGAAGTCTTCATGAACACGTCTGTCAAATGAACTGTCTTTCTTTTTATGGATGAGTGTCACCATGTTTGGACTCCCAGCATTTAAAGTCAGGACCTGCTGATCCAGCTTTTTGTAGTTTCGATGCTATTTCAGTACTTTGGCCTTGGGTTGCTTCCAGTACAGGTGAAGCAATGATTGAGTCAAATGGGTTGCTGGACTCATTGCCAGGAAGAAATTGGAAATTATTCTTTTATGTACAAGGGAACATAAGGCTAACCTATGTTGGGGGTAGGGGATGTCAGCTCCTTAACATCTGACAGCATCTTGGACCACAAGTGCTATGTTGTGAATGATGCAATTGATGGTCAGGGTTGATATTTTCACTTGGTGAGGAAAAGCCACACAACTATCAGCCCATCACTTTCATAACTACATGATGCCAAAGACAGCAGCCCTGGTGCATATAAAGCTACACAACTCATCTTTGTAGGAAATTCTGGTGTCAACAATCAGGCAAGAGGCTGACACATAGTAGGTATGATGCCCTGATGCAGACTCTTGCAACTTTAAAAAAACATAACATTTGATACAG